TGGGATTTCTGTTGGGTTTTTCCTTCTTCAACATCACGTGGTTCTCTGGCTGGTTCTTGGGGGGGCGGGGCTATTGCTCATCCATGACACTTCGGGGGGTGGGTCGTTTGCAGCCATGTCCCCCTGCCCGCCCATCCTGCTGGGACCACGCCCTGAAGAGTGACAGCATGGACCACCGCAGGCCCACGCAGCTGCCCGGCCCTCGGTGGCAGGGCTCCTGGCCCACAGCCGTCAGCCCAGGCCCAGCCTTGCCCACCAAGCACAGAACCTCTGTAGTGAGGCCCTTGCCCAGCAGATCGCTGGCCACTGGCCCGGCTCTGGCTCAGCCATGGGTCCCCAGGAGGCGTGGCCTGCTGGGCCTGCGGCCACTGCCCCTCGGGCCTCCGCTCTGTGCATGCTGAGCACGTGGCTGGCTGCAGCATGCCGCATGCCCACAGCTCCCGCCCGCCCGGCTGCCTGCCCATGGGGCCCAGACTGGGGAGCGTCCCTGCCCGCCTGGCGCCAGCCCCGGAGCCACCTGCTTGCAGGAGGCCTGTCTCAAGAGCCCTCGCTTCACCTGGTTCCGCTTTGCTTTGACACCCAATCGCCTTTCCCTTTGGTCCCCACCCCTCCCCTGCCCAGGCTTTGCTGATTGGCGTCATCACCAGGTGTGGTTCCCATAGCAACCTGCTGCACAGCCTGGGTCAGAGCCCTGCAGGGGAGCAGGGTGGGGAGGCCTCCCCCCGCCCCCCCAGACCTCCTGGCCTCAGCCTGCCCTGTGAATACTAGCCCAGCCGCTGCCACCACCACAGCCCACAGCTTCCCCTCGCCTGGAACCGACCTGTTTTTTTAATAAGTTATTTAGACAGAATAGCACTCTGCATGCCTGTAATTCTCGGGACAAAACGGTAGTTGACGCCCTCACACGCACACCTGTGTGGTCTAGAATAGGCGCTATTTCCTGCCCAGTTTGGTCCTGGTGGGTGGAGGGTTTCAAAATTTGGAATCGGGAGGGAGCTCCTGACTAGCATCATTTCCCCCAAAGAGCATTCCTAGTTGGTGAGGAGGCTGAGGCCCCCCCGTCCAGCTCGGATGTGCCGCTGCCTTTGGGAGGGACCAGTGGGCCCTCCGTCCAGCTTGGCTGGGGGCCTGGACGCTGGCGCTGCTTGGCCTCCTGAGGTTGGGGCTGGGGCTGTCGGGCAGGGTGGCCCGGGCGGGGACGAGCAGGTGGTTGGCAGTGGCCGCACGTCCAGCTGCGAGCCTGGACCCGCCACTGAGACCCCTTCATTGGGGGCTTGGAGGAAGGGACCCACATGTGGGGCCGCGGAGGGGACGTTCCTAAAGGGGCTTTGGAAGTGAGCGAGCGAGCAGGGTGCCCGGTTTCCCCGGTGCCTGCGTGCTGTGGCGTGAGGCGTTGGCGGAGCACTGTACAGACCCCGCTCTCCCCTGTACATACCCCGGAGGCCGGCCCCGCTCGGGGTGGGAGTTTTGTAGACTGTACAGAAATCGGCACCCTATTTTCTTGCAGCTCAGATTTTGTTAACCTGGATTATACAGACAGACGTAAAGCGTTTTAGCAAAATGGAAAAGCTGTGCCTTTCTCCTTTCTGTTGGCTGGGTTCTGGCTGGGGGCAGCCTCTGCTGCCATGGGGCCCATGGGGCCCGGTGGACGGGAGGGCAGGTGGTGGCCTCGGGTCAGCATGGTGGTCGAGGTGGTAGCTGGCGGGGGGGGGGAGGGGGGGCGAGCTCTTTGATCCTGTGCCTTCCCAGCCTCTGTCCCTGGGGTGGGAGGAGCTGCTGGTGCCCAGGGCTGGGAGGGTGGGGCCTGGGCTGTCATTATCTGGTTGGGGATGGACACCTCGCTGGCCTGCTCCAGGGCAGAGGTGTGGCCGCCTCCTCTGCCGGCATCTGTCTGTCCGAGAGGGACCTGGGTGGGCCCTGTCTTCCTGGTCAGATGGCCCACAGTGGGTGGACGCTGCCAGGAGGTGGGAGAGATGCCAGGAGGGTGTGGCGGGGGGCCATGTCAGGAACCCCGGTGCCTAGCCGCTGTGGGCAGAGGCGTCTGCGTCCACCCAGCTGGGCGTGCCCTGCACCAGGACAGGCCCTCGCCAGGGCAGTGTTGCTTGGCAGATCCTGAGGTCCATGGGGACAGACCCCCCAGCCGCCCCCAGGCGGGAGCGGGACCCCCCTGCAGGGGCTGCCCGGGCTGCTGCTTCCCTCCAGCCTGGGCGCCAACTGCTCCAGAACATGCCCTGAGATGTGAATTTTATACGTTTGTAGAAATCCTGACTTTACCTCTTCTACCTCTGAAGCGTCCTCCCCAGGCCGCTCAGTGATGAGTCTCTAGCTTCTCCGAGCTGGCCTGGCAGCCTGGGCCCTCCTCCCTGCGGGCCCCAGGGGTGCCCCCTGAGGCTCCGGAAGAGTGAGCCGGGTCAGGGGTTGCTCAGGGGTCGGGGCTCCCAGGACCCCTGTTGTCTGGAAACCTGTTTGGGAGCACAGAGCAAGAGGCAGCGTGTTGCGGAATGTTCGTTAGCTGGGCAGCTCCAGGCGGTGGGATCCAGGGCAGCTGAGGGCTCCTGGGCCTGGCCTGGCGCCACCAGGGTCTTGGCATGTGGCTGGTGGCCCTCCCCAGGGCAGCTCCCACTGCCCAGCAGGCCCCCCGGGTAGGTCTGCAGGTGCTGAGGCGCCATGTGGGAGGGCCAGTGGCCTCTCCCGTTGCACCCCCACGTGTCCGGCTTGGCCTCCCGGTGCAGCCGGGAGGAGAGGGCGGAGGGCAGGGATGCTGCCTGGAGGGTGAGGCCTGCCCTGGGGAAGGTGTGGGCTGGAGGCCCTGCCACAGGCGGCCTGAGGCCAGGGGTCCTTGCTGGCCCCTCCAGCTCTGGGGGTCTTTTCTCCGAGAAGCCCCTTGGAGGGAGGGTGGGGGCTCCCGGAGGCTTCTGAGGCGTGGGGGCCGTGGAGCTGGCTCTGGCCTCGGGGCACGTTGGCGATCCGAGTGCCTGTGGAGTGGCCGCCTGGGTGGGCTGGAACCCCTTCCTGTCCGTGTCCAGCCAGGTGGGCGGCATCGCTGCGTCGGTTTGAAGCGACTTCTGAGTCAGTTCTGGCCCGGTGCTGTGTTCTGTGCTGGGGCCTTCCCAGGAGGCTTTGGGGTCAGGTCTGGGCTGGGAAGGGCAGGCCCTGGGAGGTGGGCTCCTTGATGCCCAGGACACGCCCTGTGGGTGTGGCCAGAGCTACTGGGTGTTTTTTAAACAGCAATAATTAGCCCTTTGGGAGAAGGGGTGCCGGCACGTGCACACGAGTGTGTGTGTACCCTGTGCACTCGGGCACGAGTGTGGTGACGGAGGGAGCCTGGGCAGGGAGGCCGGGAGGTGCTGTGCTGGGCCTGTGGGGCCGGGAACTGTGAATGGGGCGCTCCTTCCCAGCGGGGGTGCTGGGCGGCTGGGCATGGAGGTGGCATGACCCAGACGAGCCTCTGCCTGGGTCTGGGCGTGGGGAGGGTGGCTGAGGTCAGACTTGGTGACGGGGAGTCACCTCGCCTGGCTGTGGCCACGGCTGGCATGGACGCGGCGGCTAGCCCGGTGGGCCCGGAGCCTGTCAGGTGCCTGGCTTACTGTTGTGAGCCCACGACTGGGTGACTCCCGAGACCCCAGGATGTGCCAAACCACCCCCAGGAGGGCCCAGGGCAGCGGCGAGCTGAGCTCCAGAGGGACAGGCTGCAGGGCCGGGGGGGCAGGGTCCCCGCTCCTGTGGGTGTGTGAGCAGCAGGCGGGGTGTGGGGGTGGCCCTTCGACCTGTGTGCCCTGATGCTGCTGTTTTTCAATAAAACCAGAGCTGGCGGAATCGGCCTCCGTGCTTTCTTGAGGCGGCCCCAGCCCGGCGCGGGCGGGAAGGGCTGGTTTCCTGGAGACTCGGGGGAGCCTGTGGGCTGAGATGCCCTGTCCGTCTGGCACCCTCCGCTGGGCACTCCCTGAGGGCCTGGGGGTGGCAGTGGGGCCTGGTGTCGAAGGGAGGACAGGAGGGGCTGGGGGTCCAGGTGGTGACGAGAGCAAGGAGAGGTTCAGGGTGGACCCTGGCTTTGTTGATGGGGCCCTGGCCAGCCCAACCCCAGACAGCTCCCCACCTCCCTCCCGAGGCATCTGCCCTCAGCCTGGGGCCGTCCGGTGCACAGGCCAGGCTGCGGGGTCAGTTCCCAGGCTGTTCATTTGTTTGGGCCAGATGTCCCCTGTGAAGCCCCCAGAGGGCATGCTCTGAGGTGACAGCGCAGTAAAGACATCCAGGCGCGGGCTGCGGGCGGGGCCAGGCTCAGTCCGGAATGAGAGAAGGGGGGCTAGGCCTAGGACCTGGTGACCAGGGCTCCCAAGGACGGTGCATCCCGAGGGCTCCGTGAAGGCAGCACAGAACCCAGCCGCGTGTCAGCAGGAGCAGCCAGGCCCCCGGGGGCAGGAGCCCCTGGGCCCAGTGGGCGCATCAACATGCTCCTCCGCCCTGACAGGTGCCACGGACCCAGTCGGAGCCCAGATCCAGAACCGGAAGCTGGTGGGAGGACCTGGAACACACTCCCAGGGGCGCCACAGAAGCAGCCATGTGTGCATTACAGTGATGTAACCTTCCGGTGCCTCGGTTTCCCCACTGTGCAGGGCATGCTGGTGCCTGTCACCGTCTGCTGCGAGGCTTTGGGTGCACAGCTGGGCCCTTCCCTTGGCTCCGGGGAAGAACGG